TGTTTTTTTATTTTATGATAAAATTTGTGATTGCGTACGGAGTTTACAAATGGCATTTGCAATCAGCGTTTGTGATCGTCGTTTGTGGCTGGAGTTTATAACTTGCGTTTGCAAGCATTTACATTTGGCGTTTGTGTTTGAAATTGTGGTAGTTTTTTGTAATTCTTAGATGTTATAGTAGAGTTATTTGCATTATGCAAAAGATATGTTATCATTTGTGGTAGACTTGTTTTCTAAACAATTGTATTTGTATATCGACGGACCTTTGCGTTATAAATTCGTTGTATGTAATATACAAATAACATACAAGTCTACATTGATATGTAAAATACAAGTCTATCATCATTGTATATATGTTAACATACAAGTCTATTATCGTTGTATTTAAGTATACAAATCTACCACTGTAAATATACCATCATAGTAACCAATAAATCTACCAACTAAAAGTTTTTTTAGTTAACTCAAAAGATTGATTAACATTAATTACCGCCTCAATGGATTTATAAATCTATAATCCAAAACACGTGTTAATCTACCATCTATGGCAATAGGTTTACCACACAACTTTAATCTACCATCAAACAAAATAAACCTACCAATGGATTTTAAATCTACGAGTTAAATCTACCACTAGACTACTAAATCTATCACCACAAACGATTCTACTACCATTGATGTTAACTCTATCAATCATATTATAAATCTTCCACTCCAAAACATCTTCGTCCCCAAAGAAAAATAAGTCTATTACTATAATAACAATGAACTGTACATGTTCTAACCTACCGACTTGAATTACGTCTAACATGCCGTTTATAAATCAATAAATCATTAACTAAATCTACCATCACTCAAATGGTAGAATTTTCACTTTTTGGCAGGAATATTTTTTTATAATTCTACCTACGTGTTAAACATAGTAATGACAGTCTTTTGTCATAAAAAAGAAAATGATAAAATGTGTACACTATGTTGTTTTAGTAATTATGGAAAACTGGCATCACTTTGGTCATAAATAAAATTTCTAAACTTGTTTGAGTAAACTACCACGTAT